AAGCTGTGAAGTGTGCAAGGGAGTTCCAGGTTCGATTCGTTGGTGTCTAAGATCAGCTGGGTCGAGGGTTTGAAGAAATCTAAAGTAGGCAATAGCTGATAGTCTGGGAATGTAAAGCAATGATAATCTGGATCGTAGAACTGTAGCAAAACAGAAAGAAGTATGTCGTCCACTTGAAGTCTCAACAAAGATAACAACTTTCCATATTTGTTTCAGAATCCTTCTTGATCTCGAACCAAAGCTCTTAACTTTCTTAGGCCATCCAACTTAAGACTCTTAAAAGAATATTTCAAAGTGTTTTTCCTATTATAATCCATGGTATCCCTGCAATGTTCATAAATAAAGTTTGAATTCCATGAAACTTAATGCGATGTGATGCTTTATGGATGCAATGCACACATACACACAAAGGTCATAGGTTAGAGGAACAACGAATGGAGCCAAGGTCTACCCTTCCCAAAAAGGTATGTACTATAGGGTTAGTTGTACCCGCCGAACAAGGGTTCTAAAGAAGTTCCCAAAGTCATCAGTCAATCTTTTGGATATTATCAATTTTCCGACTGACTCGGTGGTTAATAATATTTTCAAGAGAACCTCTTTTGAGTGTAGTATTGCGTAGCAACTATTTTGGGACTACTCTCTCATAGTCATCGCACTGCGTCCTAGATAAGGCCAAAGTGGTGTTAAGGTACTACGGTCCCCAGCATCACGGATTCCTAGCCGAAAATAGTAAGTGTTTTCACGACTACTCGTTCAACAAAACTATTTTTCAGGAGGGCCTCAACTGTGCGGTGATTCTCAAGTCAGCTTGGTCGGGACTCACTCCCTATAAGCCTCGTCGAATATATCACATTCCTATAATAATGTCACTCAAGTCCGGATGTAGGACTTATCTCACAATAAGGATATCCCAAGCAAGGTACAACATGATATATATATATATATATATATATATATATATATATATATATATATATATATATATATATATATATATATATATATATATATATATATATATATATATATATATATATATATATATATATATATATATATATATATATATATATATATATATATATATATATATATATATATATATATATATATATATATATATATATATATATATATATATATATATATATATATATATATATATATATATATATATATATATATATATATATATATATATATATAAGCAAGCAAATAATGAAGCAAATAGTAAAAATAATCAACAAGGTAGGGGTAACCCTTAAAAGTTAGGATTGTCCCTAAGTCGCAATTTTCTGTTGCGGTGAGAATATGATATCAAATTATTAATTAATTTGAATCCCCAAATTTTTAGATTCACAATCGGTCTTTAATTTATCCAAAGGAAAAGGTCAAAGAAAGGAAAAACCTAATTTTGCATCGTAACCACAATGCGGGGAGAGATCTGGGTTCGGGGGGTTGGTTAAGCTTAGAGAAGATATTAGCACCCTAAACTTCTGTAGTACTCTACAGGAACCTCTTGTTTAATACTACTATTTTGCTTTAATTATTTGCTTGTGGGTATATACTAAGGGTTAGAAGGTGAAAGAAATACCTAAGGGTTAGTCCTAAGTTTACTTGCCAAGGGAGGAAGAGAAAGACCTAAAGGTTAGTCCTAAGTTTACTCGCCAAGGGTTAGAAGGTGAAAGAAAGACCTAAGGGTTAGTCCTAAGTTTACTCGCCTAAGGATTAGTCCTAATTATTCACATCTTGTGCGTACGTATCCGAGGTAGGGGATGGAATCAGAGTAATCGTAGTTTCCGTCGAAAGGGAAGAAGAGAAACCTCTTGACGGTGGTCAAGGTTTCAAAGGGGAATAAGCGTTCTTAAGGAAGCGCTTACATGGAGCGTGGCGACTCCTATTTCTACGTTGAAAATAGTTGAATTGAAATGAAAATGGTAAAATAGGTATTCCACGGCGGGAAACCTAATACGGAGTGCGGCGACTTCTTAACCTAATGTTAGGGTAAAGGGTAATTCGGTCCACGACGGGACGCCTATGCAATTAAGGTTTTGAAAAATGAAATGTTCAAAGGTGAGGACTATTGACGCGGCGGTCAAACGGCTAGACCTATTCCTTTGGAGGGGATTTCCGGTAAATAAGCATAATGAAAAATAATTAGGCGGCAATATGAAATATGGGAAAGAATGTAAGAATAGTAACGGAATTGAAAACAACAGCGACGATTGCCTCACATAAATTACACTCCCAAAATGAAATACGAAAAATAAAAGATTAATAACTGTACAACATGAGAACAACGGAAGTCGGCATCAAAGTTAGACGAAATAAACGACAAGGTTCAATTCGAAACGGAAAGCGAATGTTAGACATATTTGGTTAAACGCCTTTTGAGAAAAAGTTTTAAAAAATTGTTTTTAAGGAAACAGTGGTAAATGACTTTAGAGATTTTAATCCAAAAAAAAAAAAGTTTTAAGAATAAAATTTTAGTTATGTTAAGTTAAAAAAGTCTAAGTTTTCAAAAGTGATTTTCCAATTTATTTGTTAAATTAATTTATTTTTTTGTTAGAATTTAATTATGACAAAAATTCATCTTTTAAAAAAAAAAGTTAATTCCAATTAAGGTTTTGAATTCAAGATTAAAATGGTTTTAAGTTAGTCTTTTATTTAAGATTAAATTAAGTTTTTTTTTTTTTTATAAAAACTGAAAATGGTTGTAATTGTTAAGTTCTAAAAATTAAATTTTAATTGTAATTTTTTGAAAAAGTTAAGTTTTAAGTTGGTTAAAGAAATAGTTTTAATTTTAAATTTGAAAATATGATTTAAAGTTAGGTGTTAAAAAATTTAATTTTAATTAAAAGTTAAAATGGAAATTATGTTTGGATTACAAATTTAATTATTAATTAGTAAAGTCTGAAAATAAAAAAAATAAATAAATAAGATAAAATAAATAAATAAATAAATAAAAGAAATGAATAAAAAGACAATATATAAATAGAAAGAAGGGCAATGCTGAAATTGTATTTGAGTTTGACCCCTTCTCCCTCTCTCAATTTGCGGCGGCCTTTGTTACACTTTTTGAAGCATATCGTTCATTTTTTCGCCATTTGTCATGCTTCTCCTCTGCATGTGATACCTGAAAAGAAAAGAAAAAACCACAACCGTGAGGAATTTGCTCACCCTTTAACGGGCTTGAAGTGGGTCCCACGGTGGATCCCGATGATGGTTGGACGGTTGTTGCTGAATAATGATGATGGTCTGAGTTCTTAATCGATTCCTCAGAGTTCTTTTTCTCTGATCCCTTGTTTGTGAGTGTTTGAGTTGGTTTTTCGTTCTTCTTGTTTCTAATTCCTGGCCGATGGGGTTCTTGCTTCTTTTTTGCTTATTTTTCTGATGAACTTCTGATGCCTCTTTTTTTCTCTTCTGATGATGATCGCTTGATGGATCTTATGGTGGATTTTGGGCTTTTATCGTGACCCCCTTGTCTGATGATGAACATGTGATTTTATATGATTTTCATCTGAGTTTTTGGGCTTGGATTGACTATTGTTACGATGAATTTGTTGCGTTTTTTCAGGATTCTTCCCAGGATTTGTTGTTGGGGTTAACGATTTTTTAGGGTGATATGGTTTTGATTTTGTTTTGGAGCAGCTGAAGTTTTGGAATGTTGTTGCGTTTGATTGACTGAGATTTGGATTTGGGGAAAGTTTGTTGTTGTTTGCGTTTGATCCGATTTTGGTTCAAAAATTTTGGGAAAGTTGTTTGTGACCTGTTTAGCAAAAACCCATTTTTCAGGAAAAGTGCTTTTTCAAAAGAGCACTTTTTTCAAAATCACTTTTCTCTCTCTTGGAACAAATTGAACAAATATTGCCGGGTCCGGGGCGGGGTTGAAAATAAAAGTCGGGAGCTGGCGACGACCTTGTCGTTGTTGCCCTCCCGACGTACCCGATGATGAACTTTAATTGAGTGTATCAGAACCGATCAAAAACCATTTTTATTGATTCTAACTATTTAAATTATTTTCTCTGTTGTCGATTCTTTTGCAGGTCCAAAAAATCGAAGTTTGAAGAATCGGCGTGAAGACAATTAAGATTTTAGGAACTAGTTAGAAATGAATTTGCACTTGTAATTATCTTTGTACCTTGTAATAAAAAATATAATTTAAATAAATAAATTCAATTCTTTCTTAATAAACCGAATTTATCTCTCCGATCGAACTTCTCCGATTAAAAATCATCCGATTAAAATCACGACTAAATCCCTCTAATTAAGTTTACCCAGATAAATTCGTCTAGATAAATTCATCCAATGAAATTTGTCCTACTAAGTTCATCCGCTTAAATTCACACAAATAAATTCATCTGATTCAATCTACCCGACTAAATTCATCTGATTAAACTCGTCCAAATAAATTCACCTGATTAAGTTCATTCGATTGAAACTCATTTGATTAAATCAAACGACTAACGCCATCTGATTAAACTCATCCACATAAATTCATCAGATTAAATTCATCCAATGAAAATTATCCGATTAAGCTTTGACGTTCCAAACTCCGAATTCGACAATTAACCATCCTGCACGATTTAAATCCGATGTGATACAGACATTAATATTCACTTTTATCAAAGTGATACAGACATTATCATAATTAAAAAATTAGTTAAAATATTTTTTTAAAGTTTTTAATTTATTTGATAATTATTATCTCATTTAAATTTGAAATTTATATTAGATTCGCAAGTACTTCATTTTACATGAATTCGTGCGAACCAATTAGTTAAAATGTTTTTATTTTTATTTTTTATTTCTACATTATTAACAAATATATATAAGACTAAAAAAAACCACTACCTAATGCCACATAATTCAAACCAGGATTAGAGGCAACAAATCTTTAAATCCTACTCATTCTAAGACATTCCACAAGTTTATTGTGTATCTTGCAAGTTTCCTTACAAGACATTCAGCAAGGTGATTAAATTTTCAACCTCATTCCATTATTCTAGTGCATCAATATCAGCATAGTATTGTTTAATCCATCCATGCATAATCTCCACCTCTTTCTTCCTTTGCTCAGTCAACCAATGTGGATCACTTTCACTTGCAGCCATAAGATCCATACAATGAGTTCCTAAAAAGTCAAGATTTATAAAACATATTCAGAACCAGTTGATAAATTGGTTAACATTTTAATATAAATACATAACTAAAGTCTATCTATTCTTACGATACAAAATCATAAATACCATGGACGGTAGAAAGCGCAATGAGACTATCTGATATGTTTTTTAGAACTCTGAAATATGTAAAGGCCACATAGTTAGTTTTAACACAATCTACTAAAATAATTAATATGAATTTGTTTTTTTGAATTTAGGTGTTTACCCTCCACTACTATAAGGGTCTCTTAGTCCATTTGAAAAAATGATATTGCTACCAGTTCTTCGAAGAACCAACTTCATATTCTGCATAATTCACAAAATGATATAATCATAATATTGAATTGATATTTAAATATTGTTTATAATGAACTCTTACATGGCCTCCATAGTAAGTAGTGATCCAATGAGGTAGAGGTGAGACTCCAAAATCTTTCTTGCACTTTTTAGCATAGTTTTTGAAGCTGAAAGGCATAGGTTGAAACATGGTAGAATTCCCTGTTATGCCGATGGGCATCACTATTTCGGTGCATCTCTGAATGCATAATAATTCATATCATTTTTAGTTCACAAGATAAGGGCTTTAAATAATATGAGAGAACCTTCAATAATTATTTATGTACCTGCCAGTCATAAACACTAAATGTGTCTCCAAGGGTATACTTATATGTATTAATAGTACATTCTTTGTTTCCTTGATAAGCAACAACACCTCCATGTATCCTACTGAGGATATCGCTTCCAAAAGCAGCTCCATCAATGCCCTTACAGATATCTGTAACTAGGGTATAATTAAATTGGGCTGAGTAGGTATATATGATCCTTAGAGACTCTTTTAACTCGTCAGGCTGTTCCAAAGGACTGCAATAAACAACACTTTGAATAAGTTTAATTCTGAACTTAAATCATAACTCAAACAAAAGGAAGAAAATAAATGAAAATATTATTTTTTTTACTAGCAAGTGTTAAATCTCTGGCTTAGACTGGAAAGACCATTTCTCTGAGACGCAACTTTGTCGATTTCAGACCAAGAGTTTCGAATAAATGTATAACATGTCTCACTAGCTTCCTGCATACCAATAATGAATTTATAACTAACTATGTTTTTTATATAAAATAAATGAATCAAAAGATAAAAAATATGTTATAGTGAATTACTTTAAAATCCCTTGTAACAATGTCATAATAGCCATTTTGAGGTGTGATATTATCGAAGTATAGGAGTGGAGCCGATGATGCCAGTGCCCCAACGGCCACATGCGGATATTTGAGCCGAAACCATGCAGCAAGCACTGCATTATTAACAAATATATAACATTAATTAAGAGTTAAGACAACTCCTTATATATAAGACTACAAAAAACACTACCTAATGCCACAGAATTCAAACTAAAACACTTTAACAGCTATCCACATCGGCGATAAACACATCGCCCGCGCGCAATTGCAAAATACGAAAGCAAGGGATCTACATCAAAACTAAACCCACCAATCTGATACATGCCTGGCCCGTCCACCAACTAGCATCTGCGGGCTGAGACATAACTGCCTGACATTAATCAGGCTTTGACAATGCAACCAGTTAGCGCAAGAGCCTGGAAGCTCCTCGCCCACATAGCAACGGCAACCTACAAAGACTGAATGACCCAACTAGGCTGCAGACTTCAAATTCCAACAAAATCGCCGCATCCATATAAGGCTAAACCAAAACAACCATGACTGACCTAAGACTACTTGAACTAGGATAAAAAATGCCAGCAATCAGTGTACAAGAGCAGACAACTTGATGGGTAGAGTGCAACAGGATCTGCTGCTCTGAATAGCGATACTAAGCCAGACTGCAAATAAAAAATATCTATACAGAAACAAACAGCACAATATCTTGGGTTCTTTTGATTCTGATTCCCCAGAATTAAACCTTAAACCGAAATAGCAAATGACATTTGGTTCAAAAACCACCGATACATGATAGATTAATAAATTAAAATAAGAGAGTTTTAGAAACTAACTTCCGCCGTATGATCCTCCCATCACAATCACAGGTGACTCTTGAGCATGTAATGAATTTTTTAAATCTATCAGCACGGCGGCATAATCTGCCAGGGCTTGTTCTGAGTTTAAGTAGCCCAGCCTATTTGCATTCTTGTACGCCTTTTCCTTTGACCCAAAGGGAACAGATTTCCCGTAGTACCGGTGCTAAGACAATAAAACATAGAACGTGTAAAACCAACTTGATTTATAGTTCATTGAATATTAAAGAAACAGTTTTATTTACTACCTCTATGTACACAAGTAGAGCCTTAAAGGATGCGGCATTATCCGTCATGAAATCTTCATCTGGCATTCCCATTTCAGCTTCATCACCCAAAAAGGCAAGTATTGGGGCGCTAGAATTAGCACCGCCCCAATACTTGAAATTGACGTAATATCTTTGTTTAAATTTTGTATAACTTTTTGGTAGATAGTTGAAATGATCGAGAGTTTGTTTGAAGAAAAATGTTTTGAAATCTTCTTTTAAAGTGAACTTTGGAGCGGTATGCATGGTTGTTTTGGACTTAGAAGATGGACTGAACCATGGACTAGACAATGAATTGGTGGCTACAAAGAAGTAAACGAACAAGATGAAAAGAAGATGAAAATGGTTGAATTTGTTCATTGCAGCTAAACACGGAGATTCAGCAGCTTCAAAAGCGGTAGTTCAGAGTTCCTGATCAAATTGCCAAAATACAGAGAAGTCAATAAATGGAAAACTTTCGGGTTTATGGAGAGAGATTGGTAAAGAATGAAAGTGTATTTTTTATGGGAAACTCTCTCGTTCCTTTTCTTTATATTCTCTCTTTCTTTACTTGACATTATTTTTATAATTTTTATTAGATGCTGAGAAAAGAAATCGTATCTTTTATAAGTGAAACTTATTTTTAACACACTAATATCTAGAGTTTAATTTGGTATGTACCAATTATCTACTTCATGTTATTGTTTTATATTTGTTTTTATATAAACCACTTATACTTTTTTTTGTTTGAATGCTGGTTTGAAAGAGTGAGGGGTGGGGCGCGAAGGTGGGAAGAAGTTTGGAGGATTTGTCTCATCTCCACCATGTGTTGCTCATGTTCAAGTTGAAATTCAAGTCACATTGAAAGATACATGCCCAAAATTTCTTATTAGTAAAAGATCTGGTTCCTTTCAGCTGACCCGAATTTTTCCATTCTTAATATCAATTCTCATTTTTTGAAGATCGGACTTGGTGATTAGTCTAGTTTAGTTGTTCCAAAGACGCAATTTTTTTTCTTCAGATTGTGGTAACAGGTTTTTGAGTATTGTATCGTCTAAGATGGCTAGAGATGTTACTACTTTCGTTCCTTTTGAGGATGTGAGAGTGTTGGGTGATTGACTTTTTATGGTTGTGCTCGGGAATTGGTACAATCAGTTATTCCTTGTTAGTCAGGTGGATCGATTACGCATTTCTCTTATGTAGTGGATTTATTGATATTTAGAGATCCGACTTTGAGGAGTATTTAGTGACTGTTCGAGTTTTTGATGAGGAATCATAAACGTTCTCTTCTCCGGTCTTCTATAATGTAGTTTTATTATGAGGATTGGGCATGAGATTTACTTCAAGTTCTTGTCACAGGAAGGCGGGTGACAATTTTACATGCACCTAGTGTTAGAACACAGATTGGTGTTTCTTATATCTCTATGTTTTGATGATAACTTTTATGGAATTTTGTATTAAGAAAATATACACTCTAAAATTTGTTCAAGTATTATTGTTTCAGGTATTAAATTGAAAACTCTTAAAGAAGCAAAATACATAAGTACAAGAAACTATGCAAGGCTCTCAAGCATCAGATGCAAGACTATTAGAAGATTCTGAAACGCTGTCAGAAGGATCTGAAGCAGAAGCTACAGAATGATCTGAAGTGTTAATGAAAGAAGGGTACAAAGAGTTAAAAGCTTTGATCTAATCAGACTCTGAAGTTCTTTTCACTGCAAGAACATAGGCTTTGATAATTAGACTATTATCATTTATATTCACGCTCAAGCACATATTGCTGCATACTCTGATGAAGGATCTGATCAAGATTGAGACTCTGATATATTAAGATATGATCATCTATCAAGGCTCTGAACATCTCAATCATTTTAGCTCTGATCATCTTAAAGTATTTCATACCTTTAAGCTTGCTACAAGTTCTGAAGTGCAGATTATGAAGACTTCATCCTGAAGGAAGCTTGTTGAAGAAGCTGTAAACTTGATTGGACGTGGTGCTACTTCCAAAGTAACCAACGACTATTTTGTCCAAAGAAGTGACGTGGTGCAAATCCCAAGGCTTCTACAACCATACTTTTCCTGCAGAAAGCATATCTCTGCCCATACTTTATGGTAATGAAAAGTCTTATATTCTAATATTATATTCAGTTGCACATCACTCAAAGCAATTGGAAAGCCTATAAAAGGAGAACTTCTACAACATTTTGAAGCTGCTAATTTCCTGCTCATCACTTGCTCATTGCTAGTTCACTCAGAAAGAAATATTCTTACACGCTTGATTCATCAAAGTGAAAATCTCACAAATATCTTATTCATTTGATCTTTCATAAAACTGTATAGTTTTTGTTGTACTTAATCTTAAGTGTAAACATCACAGTTGTGATACAGCTTATTAGAAGCATTCAACACTTGTTAGTTTACATTAATTTGTAAGTAGTTCCTTAAGAAGACCAAGGTGTGGTCAGTAGTTCTTGAGAAGACTAAGACAGTTGTTCTTAGTGCTTACTATTGTAATCAGTTGATTAATAGTGAGTTAAGTCCTTGTGGAGAAAGGCAAATCATCTTTGATAAGGTGGACTAGAGTAGTTGAGTTCAACGAACCAGGATAAAAATCTTGAGTTGTTTTTATTGCCATATTTCTTAAAACTCTTATTAAACCCCCCTTTCTAAGTGTTTTTCTCACCTTTAGTTGGCATCAGAGCTCCGGTTCTGTTTGTGCTATCACTTAACCGTGACCAGAAAAGATCCAGTGGGAAAAACTCATGATATTCTTGGTTGATATACATTATGACTGCTGAAACTTCAACACCCAACAACAACAAATATGAAGAAATAGTCAGCACAAAACCTCTCATGTTTGATGGAGAAAAATTTGACTATTGGAAAGATAGACTAGAAAGTTTTTTTCTAGGATTTGATGCTGATCTTTAGGACTTAGTTATTGATGGATATGTTCATCCCACTTATGGGAATGGCAAGAAAGTTGACAGAAAATCAATGACTGAGGCGCAAAAGAAGGAATTCAGAAATCACCACAAGGCTAGAACTATCTTGCTAAATGTTATATCTCATACTGAGTATGAGAAAATAACCAACAGAGAAACTGCCTTTGATATATTTGAATCCCGAAAGATGACTCATGAAGGGAACTCTCAAGTTAAAGAAACCAAGGCTCTGGCGCTGATCCAGAAGTATGAAGCTTTCAAAATGGAAGAATATGAATCTATTGAAGCCATGTTTTCCAGATTCCAGATTCTCACTGCTGGCCTAAAGGTTCTGGACAAGGGTTACTCTACAACAGATCATGTCAAGAAAATAATCAGAAGCTTGCCAACCAGATGGAGACCCATGGTCACTGCTCTAAATCTGGCAAAGGATCTGAACAAGATTACGTTGGAGGAACTAATCAGTTCTCTGAGGAGTCATGAGATTGAACTAGAGGAAGATGAGCCTCTAAAGAAAGGTAAGTCAATTGCTTTAAAATCTAACAAATCTGTTAAAGCATTGCAGGTAATAGAAGAAAGCTCTGAAGAGTCTGCTTCTGAAGATGAAGAAGAACTATCCTTGTTGTCCAGAAGAATCAACAAACTCTGGAAGAATAAGCATAGGAAGTTCAAGAACTTCAGAAAACCAGATCAACACAAAGAATCTTCTGGACACAGAAGATCTGGAGAACACTCTGGATACAGAAGATCTGGAGAATCCTCTAGACACAGACGATCTGGAAAAAGAGAGGTTGTTTGCTATGAATGCAAAGAACCTGGGCACTACAAGAGTGAATATCCAAAGCTTCAGAAGGAGAACCCAAAGAGAAAGTCAGATCACAAAAAGAAAGTTCTGATGGCTACCTGGGATGACTCAGATGCATCTGATTCGTCATCAGAGTCAGAAGAGGAATGTGCAAATGTAGCATTTATGGCTGACATTGAAGACAGTGCTGAATCATCTGGATCAGAATCAGAATCTGATTCTGAGGAGGTATTTGCTGAACTTTCTAGACAAGAACTTGTTGAAAGTCTATCTGATATTCTTGAAAACTATAGCAAAGTTAAACTCAAATACAAAATGCTTCTAAAGCATATTGAATTTGAGAGTAACAAGTTTGAATCAAAAATAGCTGAGCTAAAAGCTGAAAATCTTCAATTGAAAAATAATTTAGAATCTGCTCAACTAAACTCTGATTCAAAATCTGAACCATGCTCTAAAAATATTTTACAAGAGTATGACTATAGCTTCAGGAAGTTTCTAACTAAAAGCCTAGATAGAAGCAAGATGGCTTCAATGATCTATGGTATTAGCAGAAACTATAGAAAAGGTGTTGGATATAAATCTTTCTCTTATGAAGATTCAAATCCAAAATCTGTAGATAAACTGGATATCAAGTATCCTCCTTTATATTCTCAGTTTACATTTGGTCACATAAATGATATTAAACACACAAGTTCTAATCAGAACAAACCTGTATTTAATAAATCTAAAGCTAATAAGAACAAGTCTTATGTTGAAAGACAGAAGTTCAGAAAAAGCTTTAAGGCAACTAACCAAAAAGGACCCAAGAAAATCTGGGTACCTAAGGATAAGATAATCTATGTTGCAGACATCCTTAGCAGCAAAGTCAAGACTCCAGTCATGGTACCTGGACTCTGGATGCTCACGACATATGACGGGAAAAAGGTCTATGTTCCAAAGTCTGGAGCTTAGATCTGGAGGAGATGTCAAGTTTAGAGGGAATCAGAAGGGCAAGATAATTGGCTCTGGAACCATAGGCAATGGTAAACTTCCTTCCATAACTAATGTCTTGCTTGTTGAGGGATTAGCTCATAATCTATTGTCCATAAGTTAATTAAGTGACAATGGTTATGACATAATCTTTAATCAAAAGTGTTGCAAAGCTGTTAGTCAAAAGGATGGCTCAATCCTCTTTAATGGTAAAAGGAAAAACAACATTTATAAAATTAGTCTTTCAGAAAGAATGTTAAATGCCTTATGTCTGTAAATGAGGAGCAATGGGTCTGGCACAGAAGATTGGGTCATATTAATATGAGACGTATATCTCAGATTAATAAGCTAAATCTGGTCAGAGGACTTCCTAATCTGAAGTTCAACTCAGATGCTCTTTGTGAAGCATGTCAGAAAGGAAAATTTTCAAAATCATCTTTCAAATCCAAAAATGTTGTTTCAACTTCAAAACCATTAGAGTTACTTCACATTGATCTGTTTGGACTAGTGAAAACTGCATCCATCAGAGGCAAGAAGTATGGATTAGTCATTGTTGATGACTACAGCAGATGGACATGGATAAAATTCCTAAAACACAAGGATGAGTCACATTCTGTGTTCTTTGACTTCTGCAAACAAGTCCAAACTGAAAAAGATTTCAA